ACGCAGTACTTGGTTCCCGGAACCAGGTCGATCTCATGACGCACACCTCGGTCCGGAGATAGGACTGAAGGCGAGAGATTCCTTTACCAAAGAATTGTACGGATCCAAGGGATTCCGTAGGATCGACGATCCACTTCGTGCGTCCAACGCTCTCTTTGTGTCCACCAAGTCAGCTTCATCCAGAAGCGATGGCGAGTTTATTTCCTCGTCCGGTCGTACAATGACCACTTCGGCCAAATCGCCTGCTTTTAAGGCACTGCCGAACTCTTCAAGTGACATCTCGTTCAGCTCAAGCAGATCATCTACTGCAGCCATAGCCTCGAGTCGGACGTCGCCATCTTCCTCCCCCGTCATACCGCTGGTGTATATCTGTGCACCGTCGTCTAACGGTAGACACACCCTGGATCAGGGTCGACGCCCGGCGTCTTGCAGCCAGCATACGGCGTCGCCTTCGCCTCTGTACAGAGGTTCTATGTCTCGGTTAGACCAGGGTGAACACGCACTCCGCGTCGCCCGGTGTCACCCTCACTTTCCGCTCCTTTAGAGCTCCGATGTTATCTACAACAACCAACGAGGAGCTGCTAACCCTGCGGTCTTCGTCCAGTAGATAACGTGCCACTCCACGCGCAACTGAAGGGCCGTGCCCAAGATGCCTCAGACTCTGTCCGACCACGCCATCAATGGCATACAGCGACTGCTTCGCAACGAGAGCAATGCTCAGTGGTTTACGTGCCACTCCACGTGCATCACGGAAGCCTCGCCCTCGGCCCTTGGCCGACCGTGTCACGCATGACACGCAGCGACTGCTTTGATACTCGAGCAGCGCTCAGTGCTTTACGTGCCACTTCACGTGCATCACGGGAGCCTCGCCTTCGATGCCTCGGCCCTTGGCCGACCATGTCACGCATGACGCAGCGACTGCTCCGAAACTTGAGCAGCGCTCAGTTGGATACGTGTCACTCTACGATCAGCCCACGAGCCACGCTTGGGACTCCTGTCCGATACACCGTTGGTGTCTACCAACTCGGACATTCCAATTTCTGGCACGTTGACCGTCTCGGTCCAGTGCTCTCGCCAATAGCGCTTTTGTCTCATGGCAGAGGTT